TTCTATTGGGTCATTTTTGACGTATTGCTCACTGTTACTCATTGATTCCTGCACGCAATCAGGCCCTACACGCAAATATTTCTATCCCGTTCATCATGCTTGTCCAGACCATAATTGGCACCCGCATGGTAATCAACTTCAAGGAACATTGTTCTCGCCGGTTGAACTCGGAACCGGTCATGATCACTGGGTCAATACACTTCGCGGGAGTCGGTGAAGAGTCTGCGCGCCAGGTCACGAACTATGACCACTCGAACGAAGGTGACGAGGAGATGCAGCCGGTCAAGAGTGATGAAGAGAGTACTGAGGTCATCATTTACGAAGAATTATAACTTTTGATTGCTGCGATTCATATACATGTACAACGCAGAGTCCATACGACTGGTGTAAATACAATATAAGGTACTGGATATTACGATGCAAACTATTGCTATCTGCGTTCGACACTAACGCTCAGTCAGTATCTGAGCCTGAGTCTGAATTAGGCACAGGGAGGTGCAATAACGAGAGTCATCGCTGCGATTCTCAGTCTGGGCGTTGTATCGGCCAAAAACATTATCCCTGCAGAACCTCCTGGATGTTTCTTCGTGGACCTTTGCAGATCTTGTACTTGTTGCAGAGCATATCAGCGAACAGAATCTCGTTTGATCGAGATGCCACTGCGCCCACTTTGTCGCGGTTTATAGTATGAAATATCAGGCTAGCCTAGGAGCATATCATGATAAACGGGAATACAAATAGAAAGTCGAAAAAAAGACTAATACAAAATTTGTACAGGGGCCATTGCACTACAGTCTAGTTACCAGTGTCACCGTCAACTAAAAAAGAAACTGAGCGTTATTGTAGAATGAAACTTTGAAATGAATACCCTCCAACTTCAGACGGAGTAAGGGAGAAACGGTCTTCTCGTATGAGCAAGTCATCTAGATCTAAGATTGAACGGGGAATAGTTGTAACTATTGCAAAATACCAATATGTCAAGTGCAATGGGTTCAGTAGACACCAGGTATCAGTCGGTACCTGACCACCTTCGCCCACCTCGTCCACTCGTCTCCGAAAGCCGATTTCAGTGCTTCATCTTCTTCGTTGACCCTAAACACGAGGTTGATTACAAGAAGCGTGATTCCCGCAAGCCATGACACCACAGCCAATTTGAGTCCAGGAATATCTAGAACTCTGGAGTGTCTAAGCCACGAAGTGGGCGATCCGTGTAGCATTACCAACCCAATCAACTGCATGATACCTGCTGTGTATGCTGGATGGCGTATGATAGCGTATGGTCCTGTCGTGACAATATGGTGTCCTTTGCGGACACTGATTTGGAATGTGAAAAAGCGACCGAGGGTGCGATAACACCACCAACGGACGAGACCCCCTACGACAGCAAGTGTGGTGCCCAAGATGAAAGGGAAAGTGATGGGCGTGTCACGAATCCCGTGACCGGCCGCGTGTTGTGCAATGGCTTGTATAACGGACAAGGAGTCTGATGTGTGAGAGGTAATGATAATGAGCTCTGCGACAGAAACAATCCAGTAAAATGTCTAGCGTATCGCTGTATAGAAATGGTCGTGGACAAGCAGTAACAACACTCACTTTCATAATGGGAAACCCGTACATAATAAACCGAGTGAGCACCCGCTCATTGAACGTTTTGGGAATAGTCTCTTCACTCGAGGGGACGTTCGGAGGTGTAAACGATACGTGCTGCGTGATAGCAGACGAGAGAATAAATGGAACTTTGAGAAGTGATGCCATGTTCATGAGGAACGATCGACTTTTCAATGGTTACTTTTTAAGCCCGTACGGCCACTTCGTGAGTATCCATAATACTGCCCAGGCATTGTTGAATATAGCCAGGGTTTCGCCGTTTCCTCTTATGAAGTGTTGTCTGCGTAAATCTCTAGTGCGGCATTCAAGATCGGATCATATTAGCAATTTAGCAAGCAGATATCACTGTCTTGCCTAATTTCTTGTTTCAGAGATACGGTGCTTGCTCGAAATTTCTATGACGACTCAAAGGACGAGGTGATCTTGATATTGGCTGGTAGCCTGGTTATAGTGACGGGAGTGATGTCCAGGTCCCGTCGAAGTCGGTAGATGTTCTACGCCGTTGGTCTCTGCGGAAAGAATTCTTCAGAATACGAATACATATAAACTCCGCACCAGCATAGAAACTGGAGGTAAATATATGCCTATATTCGAGTTAGGATCCAGGAAATGAGAGGTATATATGTAGTTGTTTCCGATGTCGGAACTGCCTCGCCCCTGGTGGCTCTAAGGGGAGCAGGATTCTCCACGATCAGTATCATGATCACGGCGGGCCTGAGTCTCCATTTATCACTCCATTTGTCACGGTATACTGAAAGAGAGGAATCATGTACGCACGTGTAACCTCGACGGGCACGATGTCCGGTCATCGAAGTCGATAGCAATTCTGCAAGAAAACAATATATATGAGGTCCGTATCAACATAGAATTGGAGGAAAAGACATAGTGAAAGAAGCTTATATTTGAGCGGTTGGGATCCTCAAACGGTCACAGGTATATACATAGTGATTTCCGAATCATGCTGGAACCGCCTCGGTGGTGTCAAGGGGAGCGCGGTATACTCCATGAATATGGCCCGGCCACTGGGCGAAACTGCCACCCGAATTTCGTTTCGTATGCTTGAAGAAGTAGCCATAACCACCGCACCTAGCATGATACATCAGGGAAAACCTCCCACGGGAATTTTGAAAATGTGACAACAATTCTCGAGAATTATGGCAAACTTTCATCAAATTTTTGTAAAAGCTTGTAAATAGTTGATAAATAGTCACATCCATAACGCATCAGTGAATGCACTGAAAAAGATATCTACAGGGCTCTAGTTGAACCTGCCATGAGATATGTAACTAATTACTAGTATATCAAAAATGTAGAGTTCACGCAATGCAGAACGGGGACATATTTAAACAGGTGGGAGGGAGAATTCGGAGGTGTCTGCTGCTGGCTACATAGAGCTCACTCGAAGGGCCTTAGCCTCAGCGACAACAAGTAAATTGAGAAATTGAAAATCGAACCACCAACAATTTAATTACTAATCACAGGGCTCCCACGGTTGATTTCAATGAACTCATTCAAATATTCATGTTTCACTCTGCAACTTACACGAGCCGCGGCAACCACTTGCACACCCTGTCACGTCGTTTTCTTTATGTTTTCATTCTCCCTTATGGTTACTGTTGGGGACTCTAGGTGAGAGGCATCACCACCACAGAGCTAAGTCTCGCTCCGAGCGGGCGTCTGAATTCTGTTGTCGCATTCATCTGTGCGTGGTCATTCAAACCAGGTGTCTATGTAGGATTCCTTTTTTTCTCTTCTTTTTGGCAGTCCAACTGGCCTTCCTGATCTCTCCCAGCTACAGGCTCAATTTGGAGCATACACATAGCTCAAAACTGCATTCTGAGGGTGAGTCATGTAGTTGAATCCTGGTTTCACAGCGACCCGCTCATGCTCACTGTCAGAATCGCAAATTCCCTACTCGAGCCGCAGCTCAGGCCAGAGCCAGGCCACTGCATTCTGAGGCACGCAGGTGAGTCATGTGGTTGATTCCTGGTTCCTCCCTACCCGCTGTAGAGACTCGTGCGTCTCATGGTCTGATATGGCGCTTTACACTAGGAAGTACATAGCACGAACTTGTAGCGTCACTCTGTGCACTACCCACAGCTATCTCTATATGACGCGCAGCTTTCCCGCGCTTCGCGATGTATACGCGCGCGCGCGTTCCTGCGCTTGCGCGCCCTATGGCGCCAGCCATCCAGAAGCATCCATCCACTGTCCACCAAGCTCCCTAGTACGTATATTTCCATTTCCTTTATTAGCATAGTTCCACCTTTATTTTTATCATGGATTCTCACTCATATATATCTTTACATACCTACTCGGTAGCGCTTCGGCTCCGCATGACCGCGCTTAGGCGCGCTATATAAGCGCCAGCAGTACATACTATTACTTACCGGACTTTACCTCCCATTTACTTATTACTACTTACTTACACATCGGGGTGAACGATATTTAAAAGAGGTTTATATGTTGTACAAAATGTGAAGACAATATTTAATATTTAAACTGACATAAAGATGGGTGCACGACTTCAAATTTTGGTGGTGTTTTGTGTGTCATCCAAAATATCAAATATTCACAACCATATTCCCACAGACAATATGTCAACAAATATAATAAATATAATCAGATTTTCCATGTCTGCTTCAATTTAAAGTTTGATTCTTACATAAAACTTTGGAGAAAACTTGAAGTTTTGCCAAAGCTTGACATTTAAATCGAGTTTTAATGTCATGTCATCTGTAAAACTTCAAGTTTTCTTTAAAGTTTTACATGGAAATTGAACTTTAAGTTGAAGCAGACATGAAAAATCTGACTATATTTCTTATGTTTGTTGACATATTGTCTGTGGGAATATGGTTGTGAATATTTGATATTTTGGATTACACACAAAACACCACCAAAATTTGAAGTCGTGCACCCATCTTTATGTTAGTTTAAATATTAAATATTGTCTTCACATTTTGTACAACATATAAACCTCTTTTAAATATCGTTCACCCCGATGTGTTACTACTTAGCAGAACATAGTAGAACTCTATCTGTTTACACCTCGCATCTCTCTTCTCTTATCTAGTATCATATCATCACTTAAGTCTAACCTCTCTGTTGTTTCTGCATATGCACGCGCGCTTTCCCACGCTTCGCGCTAATACGCGCGCGTGTTCCCGCGCCTTGCGCGCACCTGCGCTTTCTCGTGCTTCGCTTCAGCGCGTACCTGTAGATCTTCGCTGCACTCGCTTCCCCTATAGGGTCGAACGCACTTGCCATTTCAAGTATCGCAGACTAGGCAACGCACGACCTACAACATTTATAGATACAGCTAGGAGCTATCTTTGTTCCTGGCAGTATTGTAGTTTCTACACCGCCTCCCCGTGGTCCACGGCTCTAGTGTGATGACTGAGCAGGATGAACATCCCATGGTCTTGGGCTTCACTGCTAGCCCTATGTTCGGTGGCAATCCTACTGCAGCCTTCCGGTATGGTGCTCGGATTGGAGACTACAAATATTATTGACATGCTTCCAGGAAGTTGGAAGCCAACCTCGACTGCGTTATTCATAGTCCTCGAGCCAATCGGGATGAGCTCTTGACTCATGTCCACTGTCCAATCTTCCGACACGTGTGCTACGATACACCGCAATACTCTGATCATAACTATACTTCTAAAAATTTATCAGCAGTCGATGCCATTATTGCTACTATGAACATCGGATCCTGAATTCCATGGTCTCAGCTGTGGTTACTGTGGTGCATCTTTTTCTAACTGTTCAAGCACTATCTCACTGTGTTCTACCAGATTTTTTCTTCCCTACTTGATCTGAAGTTGGTTGACTTTGCATCCGCTGAGTTGAAAGCAGCATTTGCGCGAATCGATTTCGATGGGATGAGTAGGGCATTCCTGATAGCACAGGGACTTTGTGTTACACATTTTGTCTCATTTCCTCATTTTCATATCTTGTGATTTGCGATATTCTAGTATTTAATCACATTATAATCATTTTGTTGTATTCGTGTGGATTTTCATAAATTTTCACCCATCCGTAGAGGGACTTGGAATATTTTAATGTATTTTCAGAAAGTCAGAAAATTTCAGAAAATTTTACAAAATCTTTGCGGGAGGTTTTCCCTGATGTACAGCCTCTTGTGAACAAGCACGGAACCTCAAATCCTCCATATTGTTACCACTCTGGAATGCAACTCGGCATCAGGAAAACCCTCCCAAGGCAAATTAGGGAGAATTCACAAAAATTCGTAACATTAGCACAATCACAGCTATTTATGAAGAAAGTAGCTAAAGATGATAATGTTAGACAAGTTTTTTTCTACAATACATCTAACTCTTCTAAGTCAGATAAACTATTACAAATTAGAGCTAGATATCAATATCATTCATAACATACATGTAATTATTGCTAAGTTATAGAGTACTACCTAAGGGTCATAAAACCATGCCTATTGAGAAACTCGACACCTGAATAGTGTGATCATTGATGCCGTGAGTGTGCGACAAAATTTTAAAATATCCAAGTCCAGCATTTGTGCATATTTGTTTGTATCATGTGACTTGTGGTTTTAACGAAGAAATATCTTAAGTCCAACATTTGTACATATTTGTTTGTATCATGTGACTTGTAGTTTGAAATGTTTGAGCGAAGTGGCACCATGTCACTGATCTTCAACTCTCACTCTCGTCTTCGAAGCTTAAGAGGCCTCAAGCTTCATTGCTGGTGTTCATGCACTACATACAATTAAAGTGCACAATGATTTTTTTTAAATTCTAAACTTGTTTTAAGCAAACCTATTTATTCTAAAAACTATTTATTCTAGGATGTTCACAGTGAGTGAGTCTGTCGGTCCGAGTTCGAGTTCGCCAAGTTGTTGCCTGCCGTTCGCAGTGAGTGAGTCTGTCGTCCGAGTTCGAGTTCGAGCCACACTGATCCAAGCTGTTGTCCGCTGTTTGTAGTGAGTGAGTTTGTCGATCCTCATTCGAGCTCGAGCCACGCTGATCCATGTTGTTGCCCACCATTCGCAGGAAGTGAGTTTGTCGATCCTCGTTCAAGCTCGAGCCATGCTGATCCATGTCGTCGCCCACCATTCACAGGAAGTGAGTTTGTCGATCCTCATTCAAGCTCGAGCCATGCTGATCCATGTCATCGCCTACCGTTTGCAGGAAGTGAGTCTGTTGATCCTCATTCGAGCTTGAGCCACGCTGATCCATGTCATCGCCCACCGTTCGCAGGAAGTGAGTCTGTCGATTCTTGAGCCACGCTGATCCATGTCGTCGCCCACCGTTCACAGGAAGTGAGTCTGTCGATCCTTGTTTGAGCTCAGAAGGACGCACCTGCGAAATTCCACTGTATGATGGCCGACATCTATGAGGCTGCACAGTGAGTTCCACTTAGGTAGTATTGCCTCGATGCTCACTCTGCTTGCAGGAAGTTGCGATACAGCAGTGCCGCTGCCGGTGGCCATGCTGCTGAGCTTGAAGCATTCGAGTTACTTGACCTCGACAATATGGAAGAAGACTGAATCATCCCCCGCTCATTTTCATAGTGTACAATACGGAATCGTGAAGCTGATACATAGTCTCCCAGTTGGTCATAGCGCACGCTGTTATTTAAATTAGCCTACTGCCCATATACCCATTTCTAATCAAATTTAATTTTGTTCTTGTATCTTATTCTGTCTGATTCGGTTGGAACCCTCGTCTAAGATCAAAAAATCAATTCTAAAAGTCATGCTAATGTGTTTGAATCACTGAAAATAGTTGCTAATTCTTGTGTTTTTATTAGGGGGTAAAAAAACCAACCTAAGCTAGCTAAAACTCGAATTTGTAAAATTTAGATATAATAACGCAGGATTAGTTCAGATTAGTTCTAATGTTACATCTTTAAGTAAATTTGTCTGGGGAGGGTTTTCCTGATGGGATGTGTATAGGATACCATACTTATACTCCGCCTGTTTTGGACGAACTGTGAAAACATATTGCTCATAAAACTACATTGGCATCGCTGAGTGCCACCTGTTTTACTCCAAACTGTCTATTCTGTGAGATCCGAGCCAACCTCTATCTGAATGGGGGAAATGACCTGGATACTAATCTCATGTCACCGAGCCTACAATGTGGTCACATCAGACCGTTCCTGTGTTCAAACAAAGAACACGTACCCATGTCACAGTAAGCCAACCTTGTTCCAAGAATATCCTGGAGCCAGCTGTCGGAAATGGTGTACGACAGACCGTTGCAATGTATGCACGATTCGAGACGATGTCTTCACCAAAGGAGTCAATCATCCGACCCGGCTTGCAAATGCGAAGATCTGGTGAGTCAGGATTGTTGACATTTTCCGGACGAGCAATGACTCGCTTATTGAAGTCCCAGATGTGCACATAGAAGTAACCCTCACTGGAGAGTCCTTCCAGTGTTTGACGAGGATCAGGAATACGATCTTGGGGAAGAGCATAGGCCATTTTGCTGCCAAACACGCTGATATGGTAGCTTTTGTGGTTGTCACGAGTTCCAAATACAAATCATTATTCATTCCTTAATTCTAAGTCCTTTAAGCACCCAGTCACAGCGCCTGTTCCTAAGAATATGTTTACTGTAGAAGAAGTTCCTATTATTGCGTCTATTATAGAAGTACCAGAATCACGTGATCTATTGGACAAAGCCGAAGATGTTGATGTCATGCCACACGACACTCTTGGAATGTTCCAGAGTCTTACTGCGGCTGCGGCACATGTTATGACATCATAGTTATATATAGAATCGTATGATACCTTTAATTATTCTGATTGGTTAGTTAGTTCATACTCAGTTTCGATCTCAGTTTCAATATGTGTATATAGGTAGCTCATCGTAGTCAGTAGTTCTTTAGTTCAAACCTCTTGTATCTCCAAGTGAGCAATACCAAGATGTACCTGCTGTCTATCTCCTCTGCGTGATTATTCTTTGTTTGAGTCCTAGTCTCCGCCCAGCGTTAATTCGTTATTGGGTTGTGACAGTGGTGCGGAAAGTAGCATGCACACTGAGGTCCCCAATCTGACCAGGGAATGTCAACAAGCATATCTGAGCGCAGGGCCATGTCAAAGAAGATGGCCATATCGATGACTAGGATAGCGTCTTTCCCCGCTTTGGGAAGAAACTCTACAACCATAATCTGCAACTCCAGGGAGGGCACATAGCTCGGCATGAGTCCTGGGCGTGCTGCTTTGCCATGCAGTGATGGGTGGCCATGAACAATGACATGCGAGTTGGATAATGATAGATGGAGAATCTTGGGAAGGTGATATATGATTCGGCACTGAGGCGGCCCATCGAGTCCTTGTAATGTGTACAAGTATATCGAGTCTGGGCCAATGATGACAAACTTCTGTTCATCGACTGGATAAAAAAGATCTAAATGGTAGAAATCCAGTTGACATAAAAAATGCTGCTTATACTGAGTAGCAGAATTTTCACAAACAGAGGGAACTTACCCTATTCACATATCCCTTCCTCCAATTGATCACTTGTATGAACATGCCGGACACAGGCACAAGACAGTCATCTGCCATGTCCTCTATGTAATAGAGGATAAATACGTGATCACCACAGATTTTAGGCAGTGACAAAACAGCACGATAATCGCCAGGTGCATCAAAGGTATGCTTGCACTCCAAGGAAGTGCACGCAGCACTCGGATGTCGACGCTGGGATGAAGCCGGTCGGAACTCCACCCAACAGACATGGTAATCTTGTTTTGCATTGGTCACAGTGATACAATGATCAGGCTCAGAACACATAACCATAAGATCCTGCAGAGGGTCAAAGGTACTAGTAAAAAAGCCCTCGATATCACTGATAGACCATGTCCGGGAGAGTGTAGGATCCGTGCCACAATCCTGAATGTAGAATTTGTCTTCATTTGGCGAGTGTGACCACCAAAGCCCACATTTCACATCTTGGATCGTTAACAATGGAAAATATGTGGCAGCAGTAGTGACCACTGTTTCAAAGGTAGTGGTCGCATGGAAGTCAGATCGCCACAAAGATGCCAATTTCTTGAGCGAACACAGCCTCTTTCTGGAAACGCTGGACGAATTCATGGCAGCAGTCCCAGTACCAATCAAGCCTTGAACGTGAATTTCAAGCTTGTATTGAATGTAGACAGAATTCCGGACCACAAGCCAAAAGATATTGCAGGTCTAGTATGATAAAATGTTAGCCATGGAGGAAATTATGGACTACGGGGAATAGCGAACCATTGCACAGTGACTAATGTCCCTGGAGTTAAGAAGGATTAGAATGTGACATATGAGCTCTGCAGGAAGCGACAAGAATCCGCAATAGTCATGGTTGTAGGATTGAAGAGAGGACCTTCGAATTTGAAGATTTTAGGAGGCCTCTCCTCTCAGAATCCATCTCGCGGCTGAGGACATCCTGGAATATCCGGGACATCCGACCCACATCATTTAGCACGCTGTTCCGTCACCCGCGCAATTGAGTAAGCAGCCCTGAAAGCTTATTGGGAATCGATGACATATTGTCACGTGTTCACTCCCATATGACGTCATACATACTAGCTCCGGATTCTCCAGTACGTGCCCTTAACCATATTTCAAGTTGACTACTTAGCATGTCATGACTAGGTCTTCCTCTCCAATATCGCCAACACAACCATCACATGTCGAAGCTATGTCCAAAGCCTCGTTTGGAGTGGTGATCGATTGGTCGAA